CAGCCGGGCACGGGCACCGGGAACGGGCAGCGGCACAGCCGGGCACAGGAAGCGGCACCTGGGACGGGACCACCGGTACCGCTCTTGGCCCAGTGCCGCTCCCGGCCAGTGCCGCTTCCTTGCCGGTGTCGCTCCTAACCCGGTACCGCTCCCGTCCCGGTACCGCTCTCGGCCTGGTGCGGGCCCTCCCGGTACCGGCCCGGGCCCGCCGAGCTCGGCCGTCCCGCAGCCGCTCGGCGAAGGCCGGGAATGCCCGGAATGATCACCCTCGAGGGGCCGCACACCCCCGGGAACCGGATTGCGCTGCGGGGACAGGGAGAGCGGCCCTGAGCAGCTACTGCACACCTCCGTACAGACACAACAGGGCTCGAAGGCCTGCGAAAACAAAACCCTGTTCTCTTCTTTTTAAAAAAAAAAAATTCTAAATAACCTTTTCTTCCCATTAGTGGCTCAGTCTCCTTCCTCACACATTCCTTCACATCAGCAAGGTCTGTGCTGCTGCCATTTTCAGCTTATGGGGCATGTGACTGATTTTGGAAGTCAGTGAGATGGAGGGAAATGCTGAATTCATTAAAGCTGTGCAGGCCTTTAATTATTCTACTAGGAACATCAGTGACACTTTTAAGGAACAGCTCCAGTTTGCAAACTCTACTGCTCTACTGGGCCTAGGTAGCACCATGAAGCCGTCATGTGGGAAAGACTCGGCTTTCAATGAAACAATACCTTTCTGTTCAGATGCTTCCTAAATGAAGAAAGGCCCCTGTCAGGATAATGAAGTGCTTAATTAAAAGTAAACCCAGACACGTAAGCGGCCTTGAATGCTCTGACTTGGAGAGAAATATTTTAAAAGCCTTTTCAAAGCTTTAACAAAACAGTTCCCTTATTTACAAAGCAACCAAAGATAAAGCAGTAAACATCAGTGAGTAAAAGCCCTGGACTTACCTCAGGGTAAGACCATTCTGGTGAATAATCTGTCACCATGAACAAGCGCCCACTCTGCTGCAGCAACCCCAAAGTGCCTTGTGCTGCAGCTGCCGAGACCACCTCAGCCACGTGCATGTATGCCATGGTGCTGGCTCCGTTCTCCGTGCTGCTCAGCTGCATGTTGGCTTGCTGAGGGCTGCAACAAGGAATGCACATTTCGGCCTGGTTGTACGTCGCTCTGTTACTGTCTTCAGGCTGAGACAGTCCAGCACTGTCACCTGATACCAGCTGATGTCCATACAGAGCATTGCTCCCACCTTCTACCGATATGAAATCATTAATTAGATCAGAAAACTGGTTGCTGAAGGAGATGTCAAAGTGGTCTAAGTTAAGCTCCATGTTGGAGGAGTTATTTAAGCTAGGATGGGCCACAGGATAGAGTCCTTGTACCATGTTTCCTTGGAGAATAGGGAGGTTATTTCCATTCCTGATACCCCCGTTGGCCTCAGGCTGCAAGTAGTGTTCTGTGTTGCAGGCTTGAAGATCCCCTGATTTAAGTAGATTTTCATTTCCTTCTGCCTGCTGGGAGGTCTCCATGGGAACTTCAGCTTCTGCAGTCATAGCCTGGAAGTTTGCTTGGAACTGCATGAGCTGGAGAGAAGAGGTGGACTCTATTCTGGTTTCCACTGTGCCATTACAGTTGGAAGTGGTTTGGGAGGAGGGCTCTGTTTTCACACTGGAGATTCCTAACGTGTTCACAAATGAGCTACTTGTGTCATTCAAATTGTTGTGAGTGTTTTGCTCAAGGGGAAGAGGTTTGCTGGCATCCTGCAGAAAGAAGCTGGGGGAAGGGGTCTGATGGACGTGAGGGCTCTGGATGGTCTGATTGAAGCTGGAAGAATAGTCCTTGTTAGAGTCAATGGCACTGAAGTCCATCTGCTCCAGGGTGGTACTTGGGCTCAGACCTCCTCCAGATGGAAGTAAACCTGAACCAGTACTGAGTGTGAGAGTGTTAGATGCAGAAGTGGAGGAAAATGCTTCTTTGGACATCTGTTGTTCAAAAGATGTGTCCTCAGTTTTAATTTCTTTTGTGAGGGTTGTATTGAAGTTGAAGCTACGTTCTGTTGTGGGTGACTGCTTTATGTTGGTATTGATGCTGTCATTTTTCATACCTCCTCCACCATAAGTCTGCCCTTGCTTGGGATTGTTAAGAAAACAGTCTGGGTCAAAATTCATGGTGGTTTCTGGAATTTTCCTATTTCCTTCTAAAGTTGTGGAGAGCACAAGTTCCTCAGAGACAGTGCTGGGTAGCATTGACAAGCTCTCTGAACTGCCAGTTGTTGGAAAAGCAAACTTGTGTCCATCTGAACTCACAGCAAGTACCAGTCCTTGTGCAGCTGCATCTGAGGACAGAAGGTGTTGATTTGGGCCAGACGTGGGTGACATGGTGTACACAGCTTCACTGGTGACTTCTGACATAAATACGGTGGCACTTTGTGACAAACTTCCCATAACTGATGCTACAGCCATACTGGACACACCAGTGACAGCTGGGCTATCTGCCATATCTGGGTCGCTGTTTAATCCACTGCTGATGGACACAGGAGAATTCTGGGTCGTGTCAGGGACCTCCACCTGGTTGGTGGAAGAAACCTCAGTGCTGTTTTGATGGAGCAACACCGGTTTCGCCACTTTGCCATTCCTCTTCTCTCGGCTGGAGGCCTTGCCATGACTGTGCTCGTTCTTGCCTTCAGAGACATCGTTATTTTGTACCTCTGAATGAGTGCTGTACCCACCTGTCCTTGGTTCAACCTTTGGTGATATGATGCGGTGTTTGGCACTGTTACACTTGTGATGCACACTGCTTCCTGCCCCTGTGTCAGAAAACAATAGGATTTGAGGGAGGTTCAGTAAATAGAAAATTAGGACAATGCTAGCTGTGTATTTCGTGGCTGTAGCAATGGACAGCTATGCTTGTGCATAAACGTGTGAGAGTGAGTGAGGACACACATGAGAGGGCAGGAGAGACCTTGGAAATAAAACAAATTTCTCACCAGTTCCAGAAGTACAGGTCCTGTCTAATGCACAGATCCACAGATGCAATGACAGCAACCTCACAAACAGGCACATAGGCACCCCTACCCTCACCCCATGTAGCACCCACCCCTTTCCTCCTTGCCCCGGTCAGGCAGAGGGGAATTGGCATTTATGACAAGTTCAGAATTATTTAAATGTGCCTCATCTCAGTGCAAACTCTCCAGAGCAAATGCTGCTGTTGTCAGCTGTGGTACAGGGCCCTGTTCCATCTGCCCCATGGACAAGACCTCAGCCCCTGGAACACAGATGTGCAGCTGGGTGATGTTGGGAAGTTTGACAAGCACTCTTAGGGCACAGATGCTGACCAGTAATCTGGAAGTGACAGATGCCACATCATGCTCCTGTCCCTGGCATCACCCTGCTGCCTACATCTTCCTGTCATCACTATGTCTTACTTGAGTTGCCAATCAAATTATTAAAGAAGGAACCCATTAGCCATTCTTGCCCTCCCATAAGGATGGTGATGTGTTTCTCTTGACTCTCAGCCATTCCTGTGCTGACAGACACACTGTACTCTGAGGGGAGCACACAGAGCACACAGTCAGCACTGGAGCTCCTGAAGCATGCTCAAGCAAGGGCCACCAGAAGAAAATCCTTCATGAATTAAACCAGCCAGCATCTTTACTGCCCTGTAAAGGTAACATCACCTGCACTCCTGAGAGCTTGTAATCAGGCAGGATGAAGTAAACAATTCTGTCTGCAAAGGCACCTTAGTCACAAAGTCTGGTGCAGGGACTGCTTTTGCTGTTTCAAGAACAGCAGCCCGTGAATTTTTGATGTTTCTTTCCTTAATTGATTAATTTTCTCTAGAATGAGGTAAGAACATTAATTACAGAACTGTAGAATGACTGAAGGGGGAAAAGAAGCCTCCTCACTATAGCTCATGGCTACAATTACAAATGTCATCTTCTGGGCAACATAAAGCAACCATGTAGCCACTGCAATTTGCTAAATCGTTTGTTGCTTGCCCTTGAAGGGGAACTTCTCTATTATGTGTTCAAGATTTGAATGAGGTCAGTTAAAGTAGTTCAAGATAGTGCTTTTGAGACTAAATACAATATTAAATCTCTCTATTCTCCTAGGTACAGAAATGAGCAGGAACAAGGGAAAGGCTTTCATGCTGCTGTATTTGTGGATGACAGTAAGGGATTGGGAATGTGTGTGTCAATGTGCAAGCCAGTTACAAAACAAAGCAATACTGTTATGTTAAAAAGCACTGAGCAGACTTAGCACAAGACAAAACATCAAAGGGAAGAATAAAAGGATTCATGTTCAGATCTGCAAGCCTGGATCAAATGCTGAGCCTTAAGGGGTGAATTTTAATCCAAACTCAGGTATTTCAGAGGTCATCATTCTTATTTAAGCCTTGATTGTATAATGTAACTGCTCAAGAAAAAAAAGGGGAAAAAAACTCCTTTGAAGCACTGACAACTTTCCTTTATAAGTTTTGCTAAAGACTAGTTAATGTGTCATATACTTTATTTGACCAAAGTGCTAGAAAGGAGCAGCTCCAAAGCAGATGAATTGGAAAGTGAATCACTTAGCTTCCCACTGTCTGTAGGAAATGCTAACACTAAGGATGCTGTTTCTTGCTGCTGTACTGTCATCCAAAACAAAGTCATCTCCTTTAAGAGGAAACAGACCTGTATTTTCATGATACCTAAATAAGACCTGTCTTATCTCAGTGACACCTTGCAATTAACCACCTGAGCACTCCTCCAAAACACTGAGCTGCAGGGCAAGGAATTCAGAGGGTGAAGCTGGAAGAACATAAGATTTTGAGGCTTTGGTAACAGAATTTGCACATAGAGAAGAGAATATACCTTTTTGAGCAGGTCATGTATGGACTGCATTTATTAGAAAGCATTAACATTTTCCCCAGAAGTTCCAGCTGCATCTTTTTATGCTCGAGACTTCTATCAGCTCTGAATTCATTGTGTCCCAGTGTTTCATGAGACAGCATTTTTATCACTTCAGTACTACAAATCCTGCTCCCAGACTGGATGAAGCTGAGTCCTCTGTGCCCTCCTGAGGTACTTACCCAAGGTACCAGTGCAGAGACAGTTGTGTGTTCGAGGCTGGGGCTTGGTCTGGTGGCTATCGAGGATCTGCTGCACTAGCTGTTCCACTGAGAACCCTGAACTGCTGTTGCCATTACTGCATGTCCACTTGATGCCATGAACTGCAAAGAGAACAGTAAAATTTCCCATCAGAAACTTCAAAATCATGCCAAAACCATCAAAAGCCACTCCAAATTACCAGCAAAAATCCATTCCTGCTGCTTTCTGTCAGAACTGAAAGGAGACCTATAAAAAACAACAGTAATGGGTACTGGTTTACTATTCTCTGCTCCTTGGTATCAACAGGCTTCTAAAGGCAATTCCTGAATTAGGTATACATAGAGGAAAAACTCAGTGGAGTATCTGGCTCTATTTCAGTCTTCTGCTAACAGGGACTCTGCACCTCCAATGACTCTGTAGTGCCGGCGACCTTCACTGAAAACCTAAAAACAACAAAAGACTTGGTTCCATTGAAGTAAAGCAGTATAATTCCAAAGAGTGTTTTAGAATCTTTTTCTGTCTAATATGAAAACAAAATCAGCTTTATAGTAAAATCAGCAGCCAAAAATACACCAGAGTAAAAGCAAATGCAAACCTTCTGCCAGGTCTTCATTGTCAGATCCCGGGTGGCAGTAGTGAAGGCTGACTCATTTTTTGGGAGTGACTAACAGACACTGTGTGAGTTCCTCCTCAGACTTGGATGACCTTTTAGTAATATGGGAAAATGGACAGGAGGGTGATGTTACAGAACATGTTGCAAAATGAAGCTCTTTTCCTGGGAACTCTCTGGGCCTGTTAACTAGTTAAATATGAATGCTAGACTGCATGCAGATACATGATTTGAATATGCACTCCCTCTCAGAATATTTTAGTTGCAGAATTTCCTATAACAGTGATATTTGCAACCTGACTTACAATGGAAATGGCACTTACAAAATATTTTATCCATAATAACTGACTCAAAGCATCTTCTGTCTCCTTTAATGTCTCTATGAGCAATTTATATGTGCATATTATTTATTTATCCTTTAAATGCACCACAGCTCACATATAGATTTTGGAAAATGCTGATAAGTGACAACATCATTTCCAAGGTGTCCTGGCAGCTTCTTTTCAGGAGCGTCTTTGCCATAGTCTATCAAGGCACATTCCTTGCATGTGTGTTCTAAAATCCTTAAACCAGAATACACAAAATCAAAGCTCAAAGTCCCATGGACTTAGGCTTTGTAGTGAAGACACAGATCCCTGCGTGGTGGAGGTCCCTGATGTGAAGGGGTGAAATCCTGGCAACAGCAGGTTGGGCTGATGCTCCTGTAGAGCCAGAGGCTGGGGCACAAGCCAAAAGCAGCATCGTGCAAGGAAAGCAGAAGCAAATGAAAGGATGTTTGTGACATCTAATGGCTGTGGTCACAGGGGCAGCATACCCAGTCTCCTGCTCTCCTCTTTGATGCTGCTCACTGAGTGTGTCACACGCAGCTGGTGGAACAGAGCTCTTGGATCTGCTCTGTGAAGCAGCTTTATTGCTTTTTTTGTTACCTGTTGCTGTACTGCCTCATCACCCACTAATGTCACTTTGCCTAACAGCATCTCACCTTGATCTAGTTTTATACTGCAGAATTCACATTGCTATTGGCCAGGCTGGATAACCTGCACAAATACTGTAAAACGGGTTTTCAACTATTCATCCCCATATCACTGTTTAAAGTGCTGCAGATAGTTTTGTAATAAGTCCCTCTATGTTTGTTTGATGACCACATTTATTGTTATCGTACCCAACAGATTTTGCTTTCTAGTACATTCACAGTTTTGGATTTCCTCTTAACACTCAGTCTCTGTTATTACATCTAAGTTAGACACGCTTGCCACTTCACTACCTCTGCTCACATTCATTTTATTATTTAAGATACATTGTTCTGTCACCACTGATATTATGTCTAATAATTGATATTCAAATACCAATTTAAAAAAAACCACATTGTCAGTGAGATTAGAATGCAGTCAAGTATTTTGGATGCTTTCAGCTGTACAACACAAAGTTACTGAACTGTAATTATTATTGAGAAACTTTGCATTAAGTGATTTCTGGGTACTTCAAAAACACTTTGCTAAAGAAGTGAGTTGGTGTCTGTGTTGTTGGGTACAGAAAGTCTGTTTTACAGCAGGATGGCAGAGCTGCTCCCTGCTGCTAAATCCTGGGATGAGCAGCCCATCGTGGGGGCAAGTCTGGGAAGTGAATCATGGCTGGGGTTTGTGTATTCATGATAATGGTTCTCATGTCTGAATCAAGCTGTGAGCTAGGAGCTAAGGCATAATGGGCAACTTTATAGCTGGGTACTTAGAGAACCATGCCTATTATTTTCAGGTCCTTCCAGCATAGCAAAGTCCCATTGAGGATCAATTGCTGCTGAGGAAAGGTCCTTCTCTAGCCTTGCTCCAGTTGATCCTAAAGGGCTCTGGCTCCAGCTTCTGTCCACGTGGTGCCACTTTTTTTTGGTACTTATGTTCCCCATATGCTATGAAGGTTATAAAATAAAAAGCCAGTGAAGGGTGACAGATTGCAAAAAAAGAATGTCTGGATGCTTAATGCAAATTATCCACTATCTTGGCACATCCAATATGCAGATTTTCTTCCTCCCTCTTTTAAAGAAAGACTCCTGTGCCTGGTGAATTGTTAGTACTGAATACAAAACACTATCAAGATGGCTTTTAACATGTCACGCTTGGCTTCCTGACACATAATGAATCAGCAGGAAAGGAGATTTCCATAGGGAAGAAAGTGCATTATGAAAGGAAGGCTAATAAAAAGCATACACACATACCCTTCCTGCTTCTTAGTGGTTTAAGAAGTGAAACCACTGTAGAACTGTGTTTGATTAAATATAGCCATAATATATGAACACAAAGGGAAAAAAAAGTCTGAAGCATAGCAGAAATTCTGGAAAGGATTTTAATCCAGATTCCTGTTCAGACTCCTACTGCATTTCCTGATAATTTTAAATGAAAGCTGTGAACTGCTTCAACACTTTCCTTTTCAGTGATAGCATAGAGGGGTCTAAAAGCTGCTGCATTACAGCAGCAACACATTCCTCGTGCCACACACCCTCTGCACAGTGCCTGCAGCGAGAGGCAGCTCAGCCAGGCAGAGTTACTGGTGCTGCACTGGGTGCTCAAAGGAGAGAAGTGAGGCTGGGGGAAGGTCCACAACTCAGAGTGCTAATGCTGCTCCAATCTCTTTTTATGAGCTTGGGGTCTCACCTTTCTTTTCTTTCTTCCCTTTTGAAGAAAAGGCAATAAAAATGACCTTCTGATAGTGCCCAGCAGCTCCTCGTTCATTAGCACTGCCAGGACTTTGACCACCATGAGCAAAGGAATGAAAGATGATCTGAATTACCAGCAAAAAGGCTGCTCAGAATACAAGGGAAACTTGCACACAGAAACATATGACTGTCCAGGTTTCTTAAAACACCCTGGCTATTTCTGCCTTCTGCTGCTGCTGGCGATACTCAGTCCTCCACAATTCCCAGGCCTGCAGTCCTGTCTTGCAGATATCTTCCTCCTCCCCATCACCTGAACTCTACCTCACTGTCTCATCATCACTCTAGACCTAACACCATTCCCTGTTTCCCTCCCTGTGGTTTCTCTACTCTAAGCAAAACTTGTCCCTAAAATATCCTCCTCACATTTAAATCTGACCATTTCACCCTTTCTGAATACTCTTAGTCATTTCTCTTTGCCACTTCAAACATTTTGCACTTCCTGGTTTTATTCCAAAGACCTTGCTCTTCCATACCACCCCCTAAAACACAGCTTACACATACATGTACATGTACAGTACATGATGAAGCTATTCCCTATAGCCTACGTGTGGCTCCTCTGCCTCAGTTTGATAAATCTTTTGTTACTTGAGTAACAACAATGAGATCTCCCACATGAAACTGGTGAGTTGGTTAGACTGACAGAGCTAGAATATCTAGAATCATCAAGGCCAGGTTTCTGTTTGCATCTCCCTCCCAATGTACCTCGACAGCCTGCTGCAAGCCCTGGTGTCAGAAGTCCTGCCCTCAGCCACTCCTGACCCACACAAAGTGCTTTAAAGACCCCCAAAGTGCTGCTGGGAGTGTGAGTGGTTCCTTTGTCCAACTGCCCATTCCTGCCTTGCTGCCCACATCCTGCTCCACCAAGTGTTTCCATGAGAGGTGTTTCCATGGCGATGGTCAATTGGAAATGGCAGCCTTGTCCCTTCAGTTTCCACCGCGTTTCTGTTGACAGAAGTAAAGGCCTTGCTCTGATTTCTCAGTTTGGCTGAAGGATATTTCCATTAGATTTATCCTTTCGTACTCAGACGCCCACACACAGTTTAACTTTGATTTTCCAGCCTTCCATTTCCACTCGTTACTGGTTGTGAAGGACAGGTTTACCTGAGCCTCACTGCTGGGGACAGCAGTGACACCCCCTGAATGCTAATGTCCTGCACGGACTCACACGGGCGTTTTGCTTGCAGCTGTTCTTTAGAGGGATGTCTGCCTTCCAAAAAAACATTTTTCCTTCAAGGTTTGCTCAGATGCAGTGGGATGCTTATAGGGACTGGGCAGTTGTGCTGTCCAACATCCCCCCTGGAGGGGACCAGCAGGACAAGACACGACTCGGAGCAGCGCTCCTGCCGCTCTTTACAGACGCGCCAAGTCCAAGGCTGCTCGCACATGGAGGAGCAGAGTGGAAGCCACCTCTGCCGCTCGTCCGGTGTGGTCCTCGCCCTCCTCCGGCTGCGGCTCAAGGGCACCATCACCATCCTCCCCCTCCTCCTCCTCCTCCTCCTCCTCCTCCTGCTGCTGCTGCTGCCAAGAGCACCGAGAACGGCGCCCGGCGGCCGCCAGGTGGCGCCAGCGGATAAGGAACGGGCCGGGACCAGGCTCAGGACCGGGATAAGGGCCGGGACCAGAACCGGGACCGGGAGACCGGGATCGAGATCGGGACAGGGACCGGGATCAGAGCCGGGATCAGAGCCAGGATCAGGGCCGGGACCGGGACCGGGGCCGGGACCAGGGCCGGGATCAGCACTGCGAGCGGAACCGCGTGCCCCAGTGTCCTGGACCCACATGAAGCCCAGAAAGGGCTCTCCATTTCTCTAGAGTTTTTTTGGGGGGTTTTTTGCCAGTTTTTTGGTTGTTTGTTTGTTTGGGTTTTTTTTAAGTTTGTTTTGTTCTTTTGGCAAAGTGGGACTGTCTAAGGTAGGTAAAACTCGACCACAAGGGAAACTATGTTTTCCCTACAGTGTGGCCCATATAGGCACGGAATCAAGCTTTCTCTGGGGACATAAAGGCTGCTGCAGATCTCAGAGGAAAAGTGTATTTTTGCATGGGACTCCTTTTTAGAGCTGCACACCTGCAGTACTGAAGGGGTTGGGTGAAGATTAGAAGCTGAGCAAGTGGCTGATGAGCAGGAGGCTGATGCTGGCCATGCAGACAATGTGAACAGGGGTACTCAAAGTCCAAGTGGTGGGTGAGATATAAGAACCTACCTAACACCTTCTATCGTGTTCTCTCTTTAATAAAACCTCAGACTACTGCAGTAAAACTGGATGTCTGCATTACTAAACCCAGTGTCTTTTTAAAGAATCCACACTGCTTTCTACGTGGTCAGCTGAGCTAAGCTGGCAAGCTTCAGTTTTCATTGAGGGGTACTTTGGAGCTCAGACAAACTGCTTGGGGAATTGTAAAATTCATCCCATGTAGCATTTTTGTACAACTGATCTCTTAAGATGAAATATAACCCCAATCTTTAAACAGAGTTACTGAAATTGAATATAAATTCAAGCCAAGATAAAACTCCCAACAACTCAATTCTTCAAACTGCATTAATGCCAATTGCTGCTCTCTGAGTTTTGTTCTGAGCTCCATGCGTTTGATGTCTTCTCCAGTGATGACAACGCAGGGATGCAGGTTGAGATCACCTCCAGGAGGCCTGATGGCTTCGCTGACACAGAATTAGGGACTCTGGGAAAAGGCAAGAGCAGCCCATGCCCATTGACTGATGAGCACACGTGGAACTTCCAGCTTGCCCAGCTGTGGCTGTGTGCAGGCAGCACAAACAGGAGCCCTCAGTTCCTACACAGCAGAGAAATGCAAAAAGCTTTTCCTCTGAAAAGAAGATAGCTCTTAATTATAGTGGACCTGGAACAAGGATTGCAACGTAGCACCAGCTGTGAGCTTCTAAGTCATACTTTGCCAGCTGAAGGATGAGAGAGCCAAAAGGGGATGATTTGGAGAAACCCCCAACATGAGCTGGCCCACAATTTGCTGATCATATGGAGTTTATATACAGAATTCTGCTGTGATGGATTCTGCCACTGAATTTGCTTTTACCACCAGATGCCTCTAAGGACATCTGCTAATCTGTTCAGAGAAATCTCAAAGCAAGACTGTAATGGGGCATGCGGTGGGGGGGGGAATTGAAAGCTATGCCAAATTGAGGCTCATTCTTCACACCAGGCATCCTGAAATGACTCACAGGTGCCTCGGACAACATTCCTGCAGAGTTTTCATGTATTATAGCTATTCACTTTACACAAATGCACCCAAAAGTTGCATTCATACCAAAGCAACACACACAGGACAACCCTTTTTATTGAGACACCCAGCTGAGATGCTCCCAACAGTTGGATTATCATAGGTCTGCCATCTGTGGAGGTGTCACAGCCTTCCCTGGGCTCCCTGACCTTGCTGACACCTCTGAGACAAGGGGCCTCATCTCCAAGCCTGCAAGGAAAAAGGAATCATCCTGTGGGACATCAGGAATGTGTATGAGGCCTTCCAGGCTCACATGCTTTAGTCTTGAGGACTCCCAAACTGAGGTCTGCCAAGACAAGACTGATGGTCCAGAGAGGACGACCAGGGGGTCATGGACGTTCCAATGTGAAGGGAGGTGACAAAAAGATCAGAACTAAAGCAAAAATCGAAAGCCATGAAAGCTGAAGTCAGGCTGATTAATTAATTATTTACAGTCTCAACTCAGCTGGAGGTGTTGAGAAAACCTCAAATCCTTAGAGCATCTGCAGCATTTACCTTTCATGGATGTTCAGATGGGTTCATTTCAGTCTCTTAATTAGTTCACACACCAGCAATGTTAGAACAAGTTAATGCTGTTTCCACAAAGCTCTCAGAGCTCTATGGCCACTCCAAAAAGGTGGTTTTTTAATCCATAACCACCAGTGCAAGCACAGTCACAGAATGAGCAAACATCACCCCTGCAGCCAGCCAAGAAGCTCTCTCTGGGTTCAGAGATCTCCTTCAGGAGCAGGGCAGTCTCAGCACCCAGACTTCAGTGCCCTGCTCTGCCCACGGGGGTGATAAGGCTGGCACCAGGACCTCGTGCCTGTCCCTGATGCTCTGAAGACTTGCTGAAGCCTGGACTGACTTTGGGATGATGCAGCAGGGAAAGAAGAGCAAGTTGAACACATTATGGATTCAAGAAATGTAAACAAACTCCCTGATCATCCCAGCCAGGGTCTCTCTGCATTTCAGGAAAAACAGTTTGATGTATTTGTCTGGCTTGGACTCCAGGACTGATGCTGCTCACCCTGCCAGCCATCTGCCACATTGCTTTTAGTTCTCCAGCCACACATGGCCAAGAGAACATGCTCCCACACCACTGGTTGCCACACCACTGACTGTCTGCTACCCTCCATTCTGATAGAAAAGCTTTAATATTGGACAGAGGTCAACAGCTTTAACACCTGACTCCAGCCCAGGCTGAGTAGGACTTAAACAAAGAGTACTTGTCAGTGAGTCAAGAGCTGGACACTGCCACCACCCTCTGACCAGGAGGAAGCATTTTCCCCAAAGGCAGAACTGGTATTAGTTTCTCTCCCTTAATCCTGAATGACATCAGTGGTCTGAAATGGGAACCCCCCCTGCAGGTACAGAGGCCTTGGACCCTCCACACACACCCTGGCTGTAATCATCACTAACTTGTCTTAAATGAGAAATTCTCATGGAAAACAGCAACCAAGAAAATAAAATAATCAACAAAACCCTCACAGAGCCTCCAAGTCCAGGGGAATAAAACACAGCAAACCTTAACACAGAACAGGTAAAAGGGTGAGACTGTCACTGCACCAGCGACACCATGCACAACACTTTGATTAAGCCATTGACAAATCTGCTTTAGGGCAGAGAAATTTGGAAACATCAGGCAATCAAACTGTGAAGTCTGTGAAAGAATGTGATTAATGCAAAAATGTGATGAAACTAATGTGCTTGGCTCCAGAATTTCATGGCACACCCTATACTGGAACCAAATCTGATGGCTTCTTGGCGAGCAGTGCCCCTCTGTGCTCCCCGAACACGGTTATCCGTGTCCTCTTTGTTTTCTAGGTCTGATCAGAATCCAAAGCTTTTATTGTAGCCACATTTCTAAGGATGTGTTTCCCAGGATATGTACCCATAAACAGAGACGTGTACATGCATATATACTCTGAATAATTGCGCAGAATTTCACTCTTCCCTCCCGGGACATAAAAGAGCCAAGTGTTATTAAATTTACGGCGAGTTCGTTGTAGTTTTCACATAATTTTCTTGATGCACTGCAGATTTTTTAACAGGCGGCTGCTTCCTTTCCTGTTTAATGTTAAGGTACTTGTCCAGCCTCAGCCACACCAACATCCTGGATTTCTGTCTAAGTTTATCAGCCCCAGGGGCAAATGTGTTATTTTCTCTATCCTCCTCTGCCCTCCAGCTTTGTGTGGAAAAGGAAAACGAGAGCCTGCACAGTTCAGGATGCAACAAAGGACTGCAAACTCAGATTACCAACACTGCGGTCAGCACGAGGCTGATCTTTCACGGAGGGCAGAGACACATCAGGATGTACTCCATGGCTGAGACCTCCAATTACTGGAGGCTGGGCATGACACTAGCATCCAGTCAGGGGCAGGGGGCAGGGACAGAAGCAGACCTGGTATTTGTTAACTCACATTTGGTATTGTGGCTTTTGCAGTTAATTTTCTCTTGGTTATAGACCCACTTTATGTCTAATTTTTCTTTCATTGCAAAAAGATGTTTGTGTGCACATTGGAATGTGCTCTCCAAGGGAAGACACACAATATAACTGTGATGCAAAGGAAAATATAATACACCAAGGCAGATGCAGAGAGGTTCAAAGAACTGCCTGTCTGCAGGCAAACTTCCCCATCACTCTGCACACCTAAGCAGCCTTCTCTTTAGTCTGCATAGTTCAAAACTGTAGGAAATGATGCTCAGCTCAAAACACTCAGTTCCTGGGGCCACCTGTAAGCTACAGCAACCCATTGTGACCTGATAATGACCACCCAAACATGGAGTGCCCTTGGGGGAATCCACCTGCCAGTACTGCACAGGCTCATTGCAAGTGAGCAGGTGCCTACAAACAGCCCTAGAACATGCAAGAGCATGGGTACCATTTTTCCAGTGTGCAGAGGGGACCTCATTGGGGACAGTCTGGGCAGCTCTCATACCATGCATTCCAGAAGTGTTGACTATTGGAAAGAAAGTGTGTGCAGATGCAAGCTGAGTTGGATGGACAAATGACTCCTTCACAGGATGGCTGCTGGCTTTGAGAGACACTGAACTCTAAATATACAGCAAAGAGGCAAAACCAGCTCCAGATACTCACACATCGGTTTGAGCTGCCCGATGAGCTCCTCTTTTGTCCACTTTGCCCATTCCTTCTTGTCGGTGTTTATTGAGCACAGGATGGGGCCGCACGGTTTCCCGCAGTCCTCGATGGCCGGGACGTTCAGGTAGTGCACCAACACAATGTCTGGGTTCTGCAGGGACAGCAGCAAAGAGTTACATCACTGGGGCCAGCACTCTCTGCATTTAACTTCCTAATTAAAGCTGGGACAGCAAGCATTGTGTTCAGACCCCAGATTGTACTGGATTTCCCCGAGATAAGAGCTGCTCTTTAAAAGAGTTGGCAAAAGATGACGCCTGACAGTTTGCACGTGGCTTCCCCCATCCTGAGGGCCCTCTGCTTGCAACTCTCCTGCTCCACTGGAATGCTCAGCATGAACCTCTTTTCCAACTCTCACAACACCAAATACTTGCAATACTCCTGTGAACACCACTCACAATGAACACCAGGTAATGTGCTTTGGTTTAAGGGACCTTTTGTTCGTTCGAAACAATGCTTCCATCAGTTCTGGTCCACATCAGTCTTTTTTGGATATACAGAAAGTCACCTGAGAACATCAGGAACAGCCACACGCTCTATACAGTGACAGAAAGCAGGAGGGAAGAGCCGAGGAGGCTCACAGTGTTACAGAGCGCCCCAAACGTGGGCTCTTTACAGACAGAATTACAAGCCTGTAATTCCTTATCTTTTGAAGATGTTTGCAAATTGCAGAAGGTTGAGACTGGAAGATCCCTTTACAGGACACCTGCAGGAGGAGAGAGGTGCTGGCTCCTTCAGGCAGATCCCACAGCTGATCCTGTAGGAGGATCCCACAGCTGATCCCACAGCTGATCCTGCAGGAGGATCCCACAGCTGATCCCACAGCTGATCCCGCTCCCCTCTCCCTTCCCCCGGGGCTGCAGGGGAAGGTCCCTGCTCTGACGCACTGCGGTGCCGTCCCACCGACACCTGGAGCAGGAGCCGAGCTCTGCGTTACCACCCCGCGAGTAAATGAATCATCTTAACAACAGCAGCGGCAACAACTCTGCCAGTTCCCCAACAGCGTCCCAGGGAGATTGTTCAATAGATAATAACAAGATTGAGGAGATGATTTCTCTCCCTTAAGTCATTTACTTCGAAGTTCGCAAACTTTAATGACTGCTTTGGAATTATTTATAAAAATAAATAGGATAATGGTGTAATTAAAACTCTAATGTTTCATTAATGCTGTTAGAGCCCTGTTCCGAGGGGGAGTGGGAGCACAACCCATCATCCGCTTGCACAGGTTGTGCTGATGGGACCACTTGTTTATGAACCAGGGGAGAGCCAGCAGGACACAGACACCTTCACCAAGGAGACCTGGGGAGGGAATTCCTGATGGGGAAAGCACAAAACTGAAGCTCAGCACGCTGAGAGCTGCACCCAGAGCAGCCCAGGGCTGGGGCAGGGTGACACTCAGCACTGCTGGGTGCTGGGTGACCCCTCGTTTGCCCTGCACACAGGGAGCATCCTGCACACCCCCAAGATCAGGGGTGGCTCGTCCATGTCTCCCAGCTCCTCCAGGCTGGCTAAGAAGGTGCTGGCAGTGGGGAGGCCACTGGTGCCCATGTCCAGCAACATGAAAAGCAGAGCAGCCCCGCAGGGCATCCCCGCAGTAAGCAGACACATCCCTCTGTCTTGGAGGAGAAGCTCTTTTACGTTAGGAAAATATGCAAGCAGGAACTTGCATTTTCTCTCTCTATGGACAGAATTGCAAGCAGGGGATTCTCAATGAAGATTCTGTGAGAAAGTAGTATCAAATTCTTGCAGCCGGTGCTAAAAAGTTGTCCTGCGCAGGAAAGAGGCAAAGAAACCTTGTAAGGAACAGCTAAAAATTTATTTCAGAGAGGTTTTGGGAAATGCTAAAGCAAAGAAAACTGTTGGATCTTCTATTCCCAAGATTCTTCTGGGACAAATAACTGCACCTTTTGTGTTCAATTGTGAGGTGTTCAAAACCTTTCTTTTCACAGGGCACATCTGCCCCAGACAGAGACAGCCAGAGGACACAGAAAACCATCACAACCTCTCTACAAAGGGGAGGTCTGAAACATCACCGTTCTCGTGCATAATTCAGAAGAGGTTCAGATAGTAAAAATGATTACCCATACACCCAAATAGTCTCCATCAGCTAATTTAACATAATTAGTGATCTAGATGATGAAGTAATAAAAAGTAATATGCTTCAGAGATTTCATGTAAATACACCTCTTGCTCCCAGGGAAGTTTCAAAGAAGGGAGCAAGGACACAGCACTGGTTGATGTGGCAGTTCTGCAGGTGCTTCTACCTTCCTCTCAGGTAAGCTGTGTTTTTCACAGCCTGACAGTGCTGATTTGTTATCAAGCAGGTCAGGATTATGGGGCTTCCTGGCTTCAGTGCAGCACAAGCAAGTGGACCTCAGCAGTGGACTGGCATTAGAATTTATACTTCTTATATATAAAAGCATATAAAATAAACACAAACCAAACAGGTTTTTTCCTTATGGCTACATCTAAAAGTTGACCTCAGACTGACAAATCTCATGAATGCCAATCTACTTGGTGAACTGAAATGTTTTGACACAAATGAAGAGAAAACATATGTTTTAGAAAACTCGTTATTAGCAGCGAATCTCTATTTGTGATAACCTACCAGGAGAGCAAGAGAGATGTGGAAGACTGAAAAAAAATTACAAATGTAACCTCCACACAGGAAAGGTGTCAGGACAGTGGACATGCCAGGGTAGAAGCCCTTCACTGCAAGGGGCAAGGGGGAACAAGGCGAGCCCTGCACTGGGCTGCAGATGGCTCTGGAAACATTCCTGCTGGAAATCTGCCCATCATTCCAGTGCCTGCAGCCTCAGCAGAGCTGCTCTGCTTCCCCCACACCCGAGCTGAAGGCACTGCCATCTGTCCTCGAGCTGGACAAGGCTCCTTGGCTTCTCCTGCCTCCTCAGTGTGGCAGAGGAACTGCCTCCACTGCTGCTGGGGAGTAAGCACGAGATGGTGCAACAAGTGGTTTAACACAAAAAGTCGTTGGTTTTGATGAAGAAAAATGCAACTGCAACATCTGTCTGACTCTTGTTTGAAGCTTCATCAGCATTAAGTGGTCAATAAATCAGACTGGCATGGCGTTACATTTCTTCCATGGCTTAACCATTAATCTAATTCCAGTTCTTATGAGAAATGAAGGAGAAAAACTATGTGATGGTGAAAGTGTACATATTATCCAGAAAGTGATAATGGCACCTAATGGTGCTGCAGCCCTCCATCCCAGTGGCTGGAGCAGCCTGGCAGCCTCCTCTGCTGCCCACCACAACCGTGGAAATTATCTGACTAAAACAGGGATTGTTTGTTCCACCAGCCTGCTCCATGTGGGGATTTTTCACAGGAGCAGAAATACCAAACTGGAACAATTCTGGCAGGTGAGGTGCCATGGGCAGCCAGCAAAGGGCTGACCAAGGCTGGGGTGAAGGAATGGTCAGAGCTCCACCATGGTTCAGTCACAGAGGGAACTCTCATTTCAGCAACCACCTTTTGCTTTTTCTTCACTTCCCAGAGTCAGTCCCCTCCGTGGGGAAGTCTTCCTTCTCAGGGAGAATAATCACAAAAACCCTCTGCCTTACCAAAGCATGCTGGTTCCGTTCTCTTCCTCTATTTCTTTTTCTTTTAAAAGCAAAAATCAAAAGCCATTTCTGGCCAGCTTCCAGCTGCTCTTCAGTTGCTCAGCCAAGGCAATCAGCTCAAGGCAAAATCTCACTGGCAGGGGCTCCCAAATCACCAATGACCACAGCTGAAGATAATTTTATTTGGAAAAATACCTCTGAGCTGAAAGTTTTGCATTTGTACTCCCCTGCTGGAAGGATGAAAAGAAGTAAATCATCCTCAGGGGTGATGAGATCAGTGAATTTAATCTCAGCCAAGGAATTACCCCCAAATGCATCCCCTTGCCCCGGCTGGCACTGGACATGTGTGTCACTTCGGTTGTGTCACACCTGTGAATCCCTACACGTGGTGACACCAGCCTGTTCCAGCTCCAGTGGCTACACCACAGAGCACAAGGGTAAGAGGAGGATGACAGTGGGATGCAAAGGCAGCTCCTGTGCCCCCTCCCTCCCTGTTCACCCCAAAAATTATAACAGGTTTTTTCTTTTTCAGCAGCTATTCATTCACAAGGTTTACTTTGTATTTCTCAAACAATCCAAAAAGCTGAAAAGGAAATCTCAGCTTTCTGGGAAGATAATTCATATCCATCACTGAGAGGTGACAGGATTAATATCTGACAGATTATCACCCCCCAAAAAAAAGATAATATAAAGAGGTCCCATAAAAAGATAATATAAAGAGGTTTTGAGGGCCTACTATTACATGATGCTTCAGTACCCACAAGTAACTCAGGGACAGGTACTGGGAGTGCCTGTGCATCATCTGTATGTTATCTAAAAATCAAACCAGTGAATGAAACTATTCCCAGACACATGCATGACAGAATCTTCTACTATTTATAGCAGTGTCTTTCTGGATGGTTTCCTCTGGATTTTCAAAGGTTTGAGAGCAGAGTCTGAGATACCTGAAGAAAAAGGCACAAATACATAACACAGACACTGAAGTAATGGAATTTTTTCAGAGACCAAATGCTAGCTTTGGGCAAGATTATTGGTTTGAATCCCAGCAATTTCTTTATCCTTGAACTAATTTCTAATTGAGGTCATGCTATGGAAGGCAACCTGGTGGCTGATGCCTTAGAATATATTAATCTTCCACACTAACTGTGAAAACAAAAAAAAAACCCACTGCCTTTGAGCGTACAACCTACTGCCTTAATTTATCTAGAGCTGGGCATGTTTAATTAGGGAGAACGAGACAATTACCAGAGACAGCACAGCCCTGGCACCCGAGCTGAAGCACTGGAGCACAGGGAAGAGAGTGGGACCCCAGAGCCAGACACAAAAGCAGTTGTTGTGCTGCAGAGCAGGACTCTTTCTGCTGGAAAATCCCTTTTAGCCAGCACAGCACTTGAATTAACCTTGTCCCCTATGGCTCCAGCTGGCAAAAGAGCTGCTGGAACTTCTGGCCCTTCAATAGCTTCCTCAGGAAGAGAAGATGCTTGGAGTCAGCCAGGCAGAGAGACATTGGTGC